GGGGCCTCCGCCCCGCCCCGCCCTCCCAGGCCCGCTGCCTGAGGGGCGTGGCGCGCCGGCGGGGGACCCCTGAGAAGCCTGCTCCCCGACTCCGCACAGCCCCAGAACGCCCGTTCCTGCGTTGGCCCTCCGCGCTTCAGAGCCCCGGCGCAGAGGTGGACCCCTACCCCAGAGCGGGCGCCTCCGCCTGCCTTCCTTCGCCCACCCCACAGCCGGGGTCTAGGCTCCCCGCGGCCCACTCCCCCAGGAAACCAGTTCGCCATCATGGAAGACGTGGTGGATCTGCTTCAGAAGGATGCCTGTCCTGTCGAGGTAGTCGGTGAATGTGCTGAGAAAGCATCCTGAAGTAATTTTAAGACTAATTTTTAACATGTAAACCCAAAAATGAAATCATGCAAGTGCTGTGGAGTTGTTTTTGTCAATAAAAAGTTGTAATACAACCGGGGATATATAGCTCAGCACACGGTGCCTGCCTGCCAAGGACAAGGTCCTGAGTTCGATTTCCAGTACAAATAAACCATCATAAAATGTATATTATTCCTGGGAAATAGCAATAACAACACCAACCTTTCGCAAATTAATGATGCATAAGATCAATACTCCGTAATTAGATACATATATAACCTAATATTTTTTATAAATGGAGTTTTCTGGGCCGGGGAGATGGCTCAGTGGAATAAGCGCTTCCCTGGCAAGCGCAAGAGCCTGAGTTCAATCCCCGGTTCCGCCAAAAATAAATAAATAAATAAAATAAATGGAGTTTTCTGTCTCGACCTCACACTTCTTATGTTCAGTTTGTAATAATTAGCAGAAATGCATTTACATCAAACACATCTACTGGCGCTTAACAGTGAACTAGATTCAGCAGGGATTTTGGAGAGTTGGGGGGTTTATACACAGCAAATGATGGATGAACCTCGATACATAACTTTGAATTTACATTTCTAGAGCTCTTGGAAGTAGGAGCCTCCAGAATAATCTCAAAAGTTGCCACTTGGGGAAGATACTCTTGTTAAACTGCCAGACTCTCCACCGCTGTGGTGTTGAAGCCTAGGTCTTACAGTAAATCTAGCCAGAGTACCTTGTTTACAGTAGCAGCATAACACTGGATCCAGCAGACCCATTCCTTACTTTTCTACTATAAAATTTGTACTTTCTTTTTTTTTTTTTTTTGGCGGAACCAAGGATTTAACTTTGAGCTTGCCAGGGAAGCGCTTATTCCACTGAGCCATCTCCCCAGCCCCTAAAATTTGTACTTTCCATTACAATAGCTGACTGTGCATCTCAGCACCTCTTCTTGAGGGATACAGGAAACAACCAATGTGTTTGCCAACTTGATATGACAGATCCACAAGGTGTTTGCACGTGTGCAAAAGTGGCAACAAGCTCCAGCTGATTTTCTGCATGTTTCCTCAAGCATCACAGAGGGTTCAACAGACCCACACTCCTCCAGGATTTTTTTTTTTTTTTAATTTTCTTTTGATTTTTCTGGTAGAAGTAGCACAATTCAGTACAATGGCACATGAAAAATGAGATTTGCAAGTTTTGGAGGTCAAAAATTGTAGGAGTGCCCTCCAGGTTCTCATCTCAGTCCAAGAAGTCAATATTTGTAATCCCAAAGATACGTTACTGAAATCCCACCAAGTTAATTCCAATCTACCACTCCCAGTGCAATCCACGGCGAAAATAAAGACACTAAAACATATTTATAATTATTGGGGAGCCCCGGGGCCCTAATGGCAGCCACAAGGATGGTTTTCTGAACAAAGAGGCTGACCCAGAGCCTCACCCAGTTTTATTCAGTGGAGGAGGAGTGGCTTGAGGAAAAATGACTGAGAATCGTGGGAAGTAGGTGAGTACTGTGAGCTGGGCTAGGTAGGAGGCCTGCATTTACCTCTGCCCTCTGCCAATGCAGAGAGCTTATGCAGAGAACGTAATTTGCATTATACTATTGAGATAGTATCTAATGTTTCAGGAGTCTGCTGCTTCAGCTCTGATGTTATCTTTCCAGCCCCAGGAAGTCAGAGCCTCTATCTCGAGGCTCGATCCCAGCTGGCAGCGCAGAGCATTGGGAAATAACCTATGTGTTTGCCCACTTGATATAACAAACCCACAAGGTGTTTGCACGTTTGCAAAAGCGGCAACAAGCTCCAGTTGATTTTCTTCATACATACATCTTCATCCTATCTCCACCAGGTTCACATTAAAGAGCAGCAGGTGTCAGTTACCAGGGCAACAAGCATGCCACCTTCAAAGACTATAACCAGCACCTCAACTAGACTAGTATACATTGCTTAAGGCCAATTGAAAGGATAAAGAGAAGTCCTAGCCAGCTCTGTACATATCAATACAAGGAAATAATGTCAGGCTCAGTCAAAATGGAGACAATCACTCTTCTTTCAAGGAGAGCTGCTCAAGTGGTCCTCCACAAAAAATGAATCATCAGATTATTCATGTATGCACGATGAAGATGATCCACTATGGTAATATGCACACTTTCATAACACAAGAAGGGTAGGGGTGAAAGATGGTGATGATGACTTTGATGTTGGCCATGTGCACCAAAGTTCCTATGACAGTGAAGTGGAGTAAGATTTGACTGATACAGACATAGGCAATGCAAACCTCCTTGATTCAGAGGACAAAGAAAACAGAAATATTAGTACATATCTGACTAGTCTGAAAGTTGAAAATTGCCACACAACCAAATGGAACCATCCAACGTTAAAAGTAGGTGTGAAAATATAGTGAGGGTCTTGGCAGGGGTGAAACATTTTGGACAGAATGCTAGCACTCACAGAAATGTTACAAAATGCTGTGTCTTAGTTACTTTTTTCATTGCTGGGGGAAAGCAAAAATACCCACAAGTGAAGGGAGGAAAGGTTTATTTAACTCAGTTTGTAGAGGTTTCAGTCCATAATTATCTGGCTCAAGGCAAACTGGCACATGGTACAAGGGCAACAGTTCTTGGCGGTGGAAAACAGTAAAAAACGACAAACACAAATAGGGATAGAAGGGCCAGCCAGATAGTCCAGTGTACTAAAGCTCTTGCTTAGGCAGAGCCCAGCAGCGGGGGTTCCATCCCCAGTGTTCGGTGCTGGCCCTGCTCCAGGACACCCTGAGATGGCAATTAAGGATGTGGCACACGCCTATAATCCCAGCACTTGGGAGGCTAAAAACAGGAGAATCACTATGAGTCCAATCTATGTAGTGAGACCTGTAGACCCTGTCCTAAGGGGGAAAAAAAATAGGGAAAGACAAACCTCTTTCTGTCCCTTGTATTGTATGCAGGCTACCTATCCTAGGGCAGGTGTAGGATTCATACCTTTAATCCCAACATTGGGCCATAAATCAATCCCAAACTCTAGATTCAGCTACCTCAGAAAAGCCTGCTACCCCATGACTGCATGAATCTTTGGGAGGACTCTTAGACACAAACCATAACATACACAAAGGCTGAAAAACAAGTTAAAATGTTCTGTAAGCACCAATAACCATATTCAAAAATGTATTTATTATGATACCTTACTAGCTGGACCAAAACCACTCAGATCTGTGTACTTAGTAGGGATTTCTCATACCAGTCACAAGAATGTAAAAGATGTATGGAAAAGCATAAACATGGCATAAAAATTTATGTCCTTGGAGATGTGGAGACATTATATTTTCAGTTTAAACATTTATGCTGGGACTTAGCCTTCAGGTCCTTAGTTGTATAGTAATAAACCAAATGATGTGAACAGACATTTTAAAAAATATATCTAAAGAGCATACAAAATAGGAAAAAAAAAAACAATAGAAATGTTACAAAACTTCACCAAGTAAAAATAATTTGCCATGATTGCTGTATAACAAAATATTGTCTTCAAATCAGTTATTCAGATTACCAGATACAAGCATGCAAAAATGGGCTTTAAAAAGTTATAAGAGGGGCTGGTAAGATGGCTCAGTGGTCTAAGGCACCTACTTAGAACAAGCTTAGCAAAGCACAGGGACTGCGGTTCAATCCCCCAGCACCACATGCCAGCCAGCCCCGCCCCCTGGTGGGCTGAGCTGGCCACACACACACACACACACACACATAAATAAATTTTTTTTAAAAAATTATAAGAAATAAAAAGGACAGGGGCGAGCAAGATGGCGGCGCGGACGGCGCCTGGCGCTGTGAGGGGGCACCTCTGGCAGGTTTTGAGAAATCCTTCCATACCCAGCTCTAGCAGCCGTGGCCTGCTTCTCAGTACCAGTATGAAGTGGGTCCAGTTTTCAAGCCTACACATCGATGTTCCGAAGGATTTGCCCAAACCTACGATAACCATTTCTGATGAGCCAGATGTATTGTACAAACGCCTGTCAATTGTAGTAAAAGCCCATGATAGGGCTGTACTGGATAGTTACGAGTATTTTGCCGTGCTTGCTGC